CAGTCCGGAGAAGGGCAACGCTGCTGCGGAAGGGTCTGCGGCGCTAGTGCTATGGGGAGGGGCTGCGGGAGCTGGGGGTGTTTAGCCTGGAGAAAAGGAGGCTCAGGGGTGACCTTATGGTTCTCTGCAACCACCTGAAAGGAGGGTGTAGCCAGGTGAGGGGCTGTGTCTTCTCCCGGGCAACTAGTGACAGGATAGGAGAGCACAAGTCTTAAGCTGCGCCAGGGGTTGTTTAGCTTGGACATCAGGAGGAAGAGGCGATTAAACATTGCAATGGGCTGCCGAGGGAGGCGGTGTAAAATATAAATACCTACTGTGTCCCTGTAGGTATTTAAGAAAAGATTGGATGTGGCACTCAGTGCCATGATCTAGTTGACACGGTGGTGTTGGGTCATTGGTTGGACTTGATGGTCTTAGAGGTTTTTCCCAACCTGATTGATTCTGTGAAGTGTATTGTTTCTGTGGTCTCCTGGGCTGCTTGGTCCTAGAAGCTGGTGGAGTACTAACGTGTTGTTTGGTCTTTGTTGTCTTCTGTCACCCCTTAAAGGAAAAATGCCAGCTGTGGGACAAGGAGTGCAGGCCGTGCCACGTCCACAGGGACTGGTGGGATGTGGCGGTTCTACACGGAGGACTCGCCGGGGCTCAAAGTGTAAGTTGGGTGAATGGGTGGTGGCAAGCTTGAGGGCTGCTGAGTTCTCCTGCCTACATTGTTTTGCAGTCTTTGAATTAATAGCAATCTGTCAGTGTTCTGGGGTGCACGGGAAAACTTGCTGAGTTGATGGTTGGAATGACATATTTAATCTGTGACCCTGGAGAAGGAGTTTCTAAAGTTAAAGTGGTTTTAAAAAGGTAGGTAGGAGTTGTGTTTTGTAATTGTCAAAGCTTACCCTATGTGGTCTTTGAAGGCTGTGAGCAATCACTTTGAAGCTGAGAAAGATCACTTGTCTCAATGAGTTAAAGCATCTGTGTGTATGTTTTCATTCTCTTTTAAGTAAAAATTTTGAGTTTTGTCTTATAATAGCTATGTTATGATCCTGTGCACCCCTTGAAAATACAATATCACTGATAAACCATATGCTTGCATCAGGTGTTTGTCTTGAAAAGCTGTAGATAAATTACTTTAGCTGAACTTGCCTAGCAAATAGCATGCCAATACCTTGTATATCTCCATTTTCACAAGGTGAATGTTCCAAGATTATAGTCAAATACCTAGTAATGTCCCTTACACTATAGAGAGAGCCTAAGTTTTTACTCTTTTGACCACTTTGAGCCATTCAGATGACTTTCCCAACAAACTTTGAAGCCTAATACTTGGGTAACAGAAGTGGAAGGCGTATTTGAGCTGATGAGTGCATGCCAAGTTACATCCTGAGTGGAAATTTGTGCTTATTGTAGAATTACAGTTCACGAGCTCTTGTTCTTACTGGATTGGAAAGTCTTGAGATGCTCAGGACTGACCCTGTTGCTTGTTTTTTTTTTCTCAAATCCATTAATATTTTCATTTGGAGCTCTTCAAGAGGGCTACTGCTAGCTGCACATTTGGGGAAGGGCATGGTTATAGGCTACTTAGTGATAGTTCTGGGAGTAATCCTTCCTTTGAAGTTGTTTTACATGTTTTGATTTTCGTATGTACTTGAAACTTTAGAAAACAAACTGTATCCAGCAAACCACCAAAGCTGTGTTGTTCTGCCTTGCTTACTCCATTCTGAGTCCAAAAAGGAGACAAGGCAAAGAAAAGACAATGAGCAGCAATAGTGTTCAAGAGCAAATCTATGCAGATAGGCTGGGCGCCTGTTTTATCTGTTGTTTGATTGACTGAAGTTCAATTTAAAAAATGAATTTCACCAAACAGACAAACAAACAAAACTAACAACAACCAAACAACCAGAAGGGCATTGTGATTTTTTTAGTAGACTTGTGATACACTTTAACAATTTTGCTAAGTTTCCTTGTGAATCATTTGATTTCACTTTTGATGCTGAATGGCCACTCAGTTGTTCTCATCTTCAGTGCAAGCAGATCAGTAAACAGATTTTCCCATCTACTTATGTTGTGACACAGTGGTTCCTGATTTTAAGGTTTTGGAGCACTGGGAATGGTTTATTTGGAAGCTACTTTGGGTAACTGTGTGGTCAGGCTTTTAATGAAAGAATCAAAGCTATAAAAGTGAGTTGGTTTTACAAAGCATCCCACACTAGATGTAACATTTTCTGAGCCATGGTGTGGTAGCAACTTTTTTGCTTACAGCTTTTTAGGTATTTTTCTTCAATTTTTTTTCCATAGCAACCAATTGTTATTATCTCTGCCCTGTTTAGTAGGATTTAAAGTGAGAATGGGCTATCAACGGTTTGTGATTGCCTCAGTGAGTGCTTCAGCTGAAGTTGTTTTTAGAAATGGTTGTGATCAATACTGCACAAAGCAATGGGAAAGCTTAGCCTGGTAGTGCTGGTGGGTGGGCTTTTTTGGTGTTTTTTTCCTACTGTTTAAAATGCAATATCTCTAAATTACTATGAAAAAATACATAAAACCATCTGAGAACAGGTTAATTCATACTAGCTGCAATGAAGGGAATTTCGCTCTAGATAAAAAAGTTTATATATTTTATATTGTGCGGAATTAGACTGATGCTTTGGATATTTTTGTATCTATTCAATATCCAGAGTAATAAATCCATTGAATAGGCAAGTTGGTTTCCCTCAGGAAAGATTCTTTGTTTGCGTTACAAGATACTTCAAGATGTGAATGCCTTAAAAAACAGCTGTTAGTGAAAGGGAGTTGTGGAGGATTTGGCAGAGAGGGGATATGATATTTTTCTCCTTGAAGCTTGGAGATTACATGCTTTGAAAAAGAAAACTAAACCCAAACTTTTTCATCTTTTTGGGTCACTTGGTACCTGTGGTTCCTGTATCTTGTCTTGGGCTTTCCTGCTTAAGGAGCTATAAGCTGCTTTCCTGTGGATAGAAAGTCAAATTGAGCTTGTGGTATGATATGCAGCCTTATGAAAGACATTCTGAGAATGCAGAGTACCAAATTTTTAGAGGTGTCTGAATCCATTTATTTATTTGTGGTGGCTTGAGAAGATGCAGGTGTGTGGAGGAGAATTGCAGGGTCTCAACAGATTTTCTTTGGGACTGGAGGAAATGAGATATCTGTATCAGTATTGGAGAGTTGATTTTTCTCTAGGAGTCCAATGTCATCTTCATGTTAAAAAACCACTGAACACACAATCAGTCCCCACTGTTTATTTCCATGTAGTTCTGTTCTGATTAGTGGGGCTGCTTTGTTCCTGTGTGCCTTTGGCAGAGCAGCTTACCTGTTCCTACTACTGGAGGCTCAAATCAATTAAATAATAATTCAGATAAAGTGTAAGGACTATAAATTATGATTTATTTTATGTAGGCTGTAAACTTACATGTGTGTGTATATATATATATAAGTAAATAAATAAAACTGTAAAATAAATATATTTATTTATATATATAAAATGCTAGGGTTTGAGAATTACATTCTGTTGCTTAGTAAAAGATACCTCTTGAAGGGGTTGCTCGTGTAGTCCCCATGTATGTGGACTTTGTTTATTTTGTTATTAGTTTATTTGCTAAGTGCTTTATGTCTGTGTTCAGGATTCTCCATGCCCAAATAAGTCTGAGTATGATAGATAATAACTGAGTTTTAAAACTCAATATAAGATTACAGTTGTGATCATTTCAAGTATGTGGATCATGATCTCATAGAAAAATATGTCAGTAAGCTCTTTGAATCCCTTTTCAGTTTCCTTTTTTTTAAAATTTGTATTCTGGTAGCATTTACATGCTTATAAACAGTACCCTGGAGGGAAACACAGGCTGGATAAGAGATTTCCCAATAGCATGTTGAAAACCAAAAATGAGATTGTGTGAAGTGAGTGGTATGAAGGAGTGTTGAGTGTGTCTATTCATGTAACTGTTGCTGCATCTTAGAACAGCATCAAACAGCTGATTGAAGCTATCAATGTGCACCCTAAGATTAAATTGTTTTTTTAAAAACATTACTATGCAATTTTTAAACAATATATGGAAGTAAGAAGGGAAAAAAATAATTTAATCATTTTAGGTAAAGATTTAATGTTGTAGCTTTGCCACTTTGTCTGTGTTTTTCAAGAAAGCAGAAGTCCCCGTCTCTCACCCACTGCTGCCATTGTTTTCAAATGAAACAAAACCTCTAAAATAAAACAGCTAATGAGAATTTTTTGCCAAAATTTTAGTAGCCGCTAGAGGACTCTGTTGTTTTTTTTATATAGGACTGCATCTTTACTCAGTTAGCTATCTGAGTTGTAAACACAGAGGATACTTTTCCAGAGACTGTGGAAGCAGTGATGAATAATAATGAACATTTAATGGCTTTTTTTACAAGGGGGGGGAGGGAGGGTTTGTTGTATTTTTTTTATGTAGCATTTAGGGTGTATAGAACTGTCTTTTAAAACAGTGGCAGCAGCAGCAGTTTTTGATAAAGGTGGCTATCTCATTTCTATGTGCCTTAAAGTATTTCTGTGGGAAGGGAAGAAGAGTTTTCTTGTACAGTTTCTTATGAACTGATGAGCTCACATGGCTGATAATGGGCAAGACAGACTTCTTTTTTATGTTAATGCATTTTCTCTTTATTTTTAGTGGACCTGTTCCAGTTTTGGTCATGAGTCTTCTTTTTATTGCTTCTGTGTTTATGCTGCACATCTGGGGTAAATACACTCGTTCCTAGACTCAGCTGCCAACATAAAGCATACATCTTGGACCAAAACTATGGTGGATCCTGATTGTTCTTGGAGAGAGACTGGGGAAGCTTCCTATCACCTGTTGAAGTCCTGTCAACTTTGGCTATAATACCGAATTAATTTCTCAGTTTGCTACTTGGGCAGCTTTAAAGCCTGTCATGGGTCATTTTATATTTGTATCTGTACGCTTAGAATACAGGTATTGCAATAAAAGTTGTATATGGAAATAGAAACAGTCTTAACTGTATTTTTTCCTTTTCCAGTGTACCACCACTAACACATTTTACTAGTGGTTTTCATAAATAATCATATTTCTGAGTAAATACTCTTTAACAGTTCAAACCAGATTCTTCCAAACTATACATTGCTATATAATTTTATGCTAGAAGATGTTTTTTTGTGGATAAAAGAGACAAAATTGGGTTGACAAATGTTAGAAGGTAACAAAGGTCCTTGTTGAAATAAAACTGAGGTACCAGTGCTGAGATGGACATGTTCTTCTTTTAACTCCAGAAGAATAGCTGGAGTTATTTAATTTATTTTCTAAATGCAAGTTAAACTTAGTGCTTGTTATACATAAAAGTTATGTGTTTGTTTTTTTTTGGAGCTGCACTTGAGGAACAACATGAACTGGTACCTAACTGATTTTAGAAAGAGTAATTGCATGGCTGTCAAAGACGTTTTTCACCCTCAGTTACATGGTGCCGTACTTAGGGCTGTCCTGGGCAGGGCCAGGAGTTTGACTTCCATGGTCCCTGTGGGTCCCTTCCAACTTAGGATATTCTGTGATTGAGTGACTGCAGGTCCAGACTCTTTCAAGGAGAATTAAATTGAATGGGAGGCTTGAAAAGCAATGACTGCATTTCAAATAACAGGACATGCAAATAGGCAGAGATACAGCTAACTGTTCAGATAATCACTCCAGTTTACTACTGGATGTTCAGTATTTTCCTTTTGAACAGTCCCACAGCTCTTCCTTCTCTTTTTAAAGGTATCTACATATTTGTGCTTTAGCATTTCTCACTGCTAATATGTTTAGCCTGCTGTTCATGTTGAGTCCTGGTTGAATATCAGCTTGTTATGGGAAAACAATATTCTTAGTTAGAATTCTTGCAATATTCTTGCAACCTTGACAGAAGTTCTAAATGCGTGTTGTAGAAGCACTTCTGTTACCACCTTCCTCAAAGCAATTCTTAAATTAGTATATTACTTCAGAAAAGACCAAACTGTTCAGAACAAAAACAAGAATGAGTAATGTGGTCTCAGGGCTATAGAGGTAATTGTTTTGAGCTGTGCTAATGCCATAGCACCTAAAATGTAAATGTGAAGGGAAAGATAGAAAACTTGGAGCAGTAACTGAAAGTTACAGAAAGTGTAATAGTAGGAAGGTGTTTTTAGAGGTTTGGAAGTTGGGGAGCAGGGAATTTTGGGGACTCAAAGGCAGTGGTGTAGCAGAAGACTAAATTGGTGGAAACTGATACAAATAAATCATATATCAAAGGGAAAAGGATCCATAAATCATTTACCTCTATGCATATGGAAGGGAAGTTAAAACACAAGGAAAGTAAGTAGGGGGGGTAGTTCACCACTTCAGAACGTGATCCCTCACTTAAATGCTTTGCTTAGCAAGAAAATAAATTCTGTACAGTCAGCAGTTTCATTTTAAGGCAAGAAAATGTAAGGAGAAGACCAAATGCAGGTCAGTTGTTCTGCTCACCATGTGAACAGACTCTGCTGAGCTAATTTGTGGTGCGCAAAGGAAAAGGAATACTCTAGTGTAAAGATAATAACAGTAATAACAAAGTAAGTAACCTCTTTTTTAATATGTTTTCTAATATACTGTTTGACTGTTTTCTAATACAGCAGGAAACAATGTTCTTTTAAACCCTTCCAGTCCCTAGAAGCTGTTTTCTTACATCAAATATTTCCATTTAAAGCCTTCCATATTTTTGCTCTTTTGGTGTCCTTCTGCTTCTAAAGACCAGAATTGATGATGACCTTGTAAAAGTGATGGGGGGAAGACCTTTTGCTGTACAACCTTTTGATAAATTTTTAATACATTTTAATACATTTAGTTCAACTGAGTATAAAAATGCTGACTATTTTGACAGTGATGTCCGTATTTAAATATTTTAAATAATTTTTTTTCTAGAATGGCCTTTATAATGGATTTTTGTATCCAGTGTCAAAAGAGGCTAATGTCTCTCATTTTGCACAAATTACTTTGCACCCTTGCTCGGCTTTATATTTTGTCTCAGCGTACCTCTGGTGAAACTTAAGTTGGATTCAGCTAGCTGAAACATCTGTAGTTTTATTTTCCTTTTACTTAATTAAAACCCAGATTTCTCTATTGTATGCTTCCAAGTTGTGATTATTTAAATTATTAGTATGAATGTGTTGGATATTCATGCTTATATTCTGAGTGTTTCATGTTCACGAGTTGTAGTGGAGTCTTGCAACTGATGTTTATCAAACTTCAGCTCCAGAGAGGTACAGATAAAGAAATGCAGGTTACAAAGACTTACCAGAATTTTGGCTAATAATGAATGAAATTCCGTTTGGCCTGGGTGAATAAATTATAGCCATACTGATAAACAGTAGCTAATCTGTGATACAGAAAACTAGTCTTTCAGTAATAGTTAGAAAAGAAGAAAGGACAGTCATTTTAAAAGCTTTGTATCAGGTGACTAGGAATTAGTAAGACTTTGGATTTTAATGCCTACTGGTATGTGATTGAAAAACGAGCTTGACTGAGCTGACTGTTGTAAATATCTTTACTTAGGTGCTGCAGAAGGCTCTTAAATCCTCAAAGATCTTTACTTTGCCTTCTTTACAATAAAGATTCAAGATATCTGGAAGAACTTGTGTTTCCATAGAAGAGATGGTAAACTAATAGAACCTTTTGTCCTTGACTTAAAGTAGTAGCAACTTCAGACTCCATTATCCCTCAGCTGAAGAAGGGGTTTTATAAGGAGATGATTCTTTTGTGCATGAGTTCATCTTTCTTAAGGTTTTCTTCTCCCCCCACCCCACCCCAACAATAAATCTGAGTATGTGAGCAGGTTCAGTCTAATTTAACAGTGACTTAGAAGCTAAAAGACAATGTCCTTTGGGGTTGGATGGAATAGGTAACTGATAGAAAAAGGAGATGGTCAAAGCTCCTGCTGTGCAAAAGCCTTGTGCTTTTAACTTGTTACCCAGGAATAAAAGGGGAAGAGAGACTTCTTTAATGCCTTTATGACAGGAAAACTTTAACCTTTGCACTTGACGTATTTGCACACTAAAGTCGATACCCACGAGCTATTGATCTGTAGGTATATGGGCTTCATTAGTTCTGGTGTTTCAGATTTGCTTTTGCTTTTGCCATCTGCTTAGAAGCAAGCTCTACTGCTCAACACATGCACACACATGCTCTTTCTGGTAGTTTTTGGTTTTGTTTTTTTTTCTGGAGAAAGGGATTACTTCAAGGTCTAACTGGTTGTATACTTCCTGCTTTGGTGATAAGGCTGCATTGACATCTTCATATTAGCTGTTTATATAAGTGTGTTTCATGGAAGACTTTTCGAGGCTTGGAGTTGGTAATAATATACTAAGAATAATGATTCTCAGCTTAAGATTTCTGAGGGGGGGGGGGCTCTACCTTATAGGTGTTTTTTTATTGAGAGGAAACAACGTTTGTGATTTCTGCTATGATTTCAGAAGTTGCTGAAAGGAAAGGCAAGCTAAGCAAGAGCAGGTGTGAAGTTACTGAGTATACCTCACCCCTGACATGTATTGTTATCTTCTCTTCTTCCTTCTGTGCTCTATTTATCTCTTTTTCTCTGGAGACCTCCAAAGGTACTGAATTGTGCCATGTAGTAGGATAATGCTCTGCAGAAACATGCCAGGCAGTAACAATAATGAGCAGGACAAACCCATTTTACTTAATCAAAAATTCAAGTTCAGATGTGTATCACCAGAGATTTGATACTGCTATCCCACATGTGGCAGCAGGTTGCAAATAATTATCCTTTTTTCTTATTTTGAGTGATTTTTCACATGGCTGCCTCTCCAAATAGTATCTGTGACTTTTTGACCAAACCAAAATTCAGAAATTCTTTGAAGTTACAATATTATTTCATAAAATAGAACTAACCGAAACTTCCCATGCACTGCTTTCTTGAAAGAGCTTCTTGTCTTAAAAGGTGAAAAAAGTGAAATTCCAGCTAGTTTAGTGTGATTTTTTTTTTTTTGTTCATACATTTATCACTGAGTAAGTACACTGACCTGGTTTTCTTCTCAGATACCACAGAGAGATAGAAAATAGGCTTATACATTCTGCAGAGGTTAGACATTGAGTGAAATGCTTCCAAAATCAGAAATAAATTTGTGGTTACTATGCTCTGGTTTCAGAGGGGCTGCATTCCCAACATCGCTTAATTATCAAACGCTATTGTGTGAGACCTTCCAGTTTATTAGCTACTGTCTTGGTTGTTTTTCTGGTAAGGGAATATGAACAGAACCCAAAGCAATGTTGCCATAAATTCCCAAGATTGGCTGGTAAGTAATGTTACTCCCGACTTACATGAAAGCGCCATGCAGTTGGAGTGTGGCATTTGTTACAATCAGTGAAGGAGAACATATGTGTTCCTCACCTCAGGGAGACATCTGTGAGGGAGGAAACATAACTGCATGATACAACTGCACAGAAAGTTGTAAAGGACCAAACTATTGTAATTCAGTGTGAATCTGAACTTGGTGCAGTTGTGGGGTTTGGTAGACCTCACTTTCTAATTTTGTTCCATTTTTGTTTCCATATTCCTCTTTTTACTTCAAAAAGTAATCAATGGATAAAATTAATTAAATGTAATATTAAATATCTTTTAAAAATTAACATTCTTAACTTGCTTTAATATCAAAGTAAATTTTTTTTGTTTGATTGAAACTACAATGAAAAGTAGTTGCAAATCCCAACATTTTCTATGAAATTGAAATTCACACTGAAACCAGCTCTTAACACTAGACAGCCATGAAAAAATGTACTTTAGTAAGAATTGTGTATGTCTTTAATCCAGCTCCCTGCTTAGAGCCAGCAATCATCAAGGCTTGATCAGGTTGCTGAGGGCCTTCTGCAATTGCATTTTGAGAATCTCGAAAGAAAGGGTTTCTCTGGGTACCCATCTCTGTGCTTAACCACTCTGGTGAAGATATTGTTTGTTATATCCAATCAGAATTCCTTTGTTGGACCGTGCAGTGATTGCCTCTTGTCCTTTTGCTCTGCATTGCTGGGAGGGCTCTAGCTTCATCTACTTTCTAACCTTTGCTGGGGACAGCAGCTTGTGTTTTACTCTCAGCCTCTTGAGCTAAACAAATCTGGTTGTCTCTGTCCCTGTGTGTCATGTGCACCAGCCTCCAACCATCTAAATACCCCTCTCCTAGATTCTCCAGTTTGTTAGTGCTTCTTTTTACTGGGAGCACAAAACTCAGTTTTTCAAATGAGTGTGTAATAAGAGAGTATCTTTACAAGTGCTTTGCTGACATGCCTGTTGTACATCTTGTTCCATGGTTAGGCTTGTTGCTGCAAGGGTGTGCTGCTGGCTCATGTCCAGTGGGGCTACTGGGACATTTTGTGCAGAGCTGATCTCTGGAGAGTCAGACCATGTCTCTCTGCATGGAGTTGCTCCATCCAAGATACAGGACTTAAAGTTTGTCTGTCCTGAACTTCATAAGGTTTTTTTGTCTCGTTTTTCCACATTGCTAAGGTCCCTGGGATTGCAGGGTCCTTCTCCACCAGCTACCACTTTATGAAATTTGGTGTCCTCATAAACTTGCTGAAGATGCAGATAATGAGACCAATTGCCTTCCTGCCAGCAGCACGGCAGTGAGTTTGCATCACTGCAGGATTACTTCAAGCTTCTGTCCCTGTTTATGGCCTTCCTCAAAAAACCTGATATGTCTGGGCTTGAGCGTAATCCTGGCACTGAGATACTGAATTTCACATAAGGACAGGCTCTAGCCTCATGCATGGAGGATGCAAGTGAAAACTCAGACGTGCTTGAGAGTGCCTTCCCAAAATTCACTAGGCACTGTTCCCAGGCCTTCTGCTTATTCATTTCTCACTCACCACCTGTGCATTCAGATCTATCTGCTGGCTCATAAAGTGATTTATATAAAGTTCTAACTTCTCAATAGCCTACACCATTTCTGTTATGTGTAGATCTCACACAGACTGTACTAGAAGATGCCTACAACATGCACTAGGTGGCCAGAGCAACACATAAAAGTTAATTTCTGGTATGATTTCAGTTGAAAAGTATGTTTTTCTGAATTTCCTCTTAGCATTCCCAGTGAATCCAGAAGAAGGAAGAAAACTTCCAAGTATATACTCACCCTGTATTCTTTCTCCCCTTGAACTGACTAGCCTCTGAAAGGAAAAGGAGCTCTCAGAATATAACTGTAACAATTTTTCTAGGCGTTTCTTTGCCAATAAAAAAGAATTGTTAAGATATTTTCCTAAAATGAGTTAAACCCACTGCATACCTGTGTGATTCCTGTGTATCCAAATGATGAGATACCCGTGTGTCCAAACCAGGATGAGAGTCCAGGTTCTTTCTCCTGGAACATTTGTCTGTCCAGAGTCTCAAGGCTGGGTGGTTTTCACCTCGTTTTCAAGTAGGCAAGAGGCTAAAAGTGTTGAGGAAGAATTGTCTACATATAATTCCAGGTAATTGCCAGTGCTGACCAGACAGGTCCTGTGTAGCAGCTGAAGCATGGATGTTTTCCAGGGAGTTTGGGTACAGATATTTGAATGTTTACAACTGGTTTTTCTTTGCCATATAGATGTCAAAGTTTAGTGGGAGAAAATAATACCAATGTCTCAAAGTTCACTTTCCCTGCTCTTGCAGGCAACACAGCGTTAAAGCATTTTACAGATTGATCACCCACCTTAATTTAAGATATGTGAACTTCCCATGTCTTGTCTGAGAAGGTACACTGGGATATGTACAGCAGTTAGCCCCTTCCCTGTATAAAAAGACACCTCTTGGCAGTGAAGTTGTAGGTGTAGTTGTGCCAGATTTAGTAAAATTCTGTAGCTGATTCAAAGGCAATGTAATATGCCTGTACTTTAGGAAGATGGTGTTGGTGGAAGTCAGTCTCTGCCTTACCCCTACAATGCATGAGCATCAGGTAATGAAAAGAGATATCTTAAAAAGCCACCTAATGACCATGTTTTATAAAAAAGTTCTGTCAGACAATTGTATTCATGCTCCAGACCCTGTTTTTCCACCATCTACTGTAAAACAGTGGCTTTCAGATAATGCTGAAGTTGGCAACAATACTTCTACTGATAATTGATGGATCAGATTACAGG